CAGCGCAAGGGTTACTACTGAGCTACTTACCATTGATGTACTTTTATTTCTAGAAAAGTTCTTGTCACAAAAAGCTTAATTATTAACTCCATTGTGTGTATGTGGGTCACAATGTTCCCTTCTGTTCCAGCACAAGTGTTCTGTGTCAATTATGGGAATTAACTGTCCCGCTTTGTTAAATATTGGGGTTTGTGCTAATTATTTAAAGGTATTGTCTCAAGCAGAGCCTCTTTGGGAGGCAGACACAGGGACTGTTTGGGGTTTTTTTTTCCTTGCCTTTGTCTTTAAGTCAGACAAAAGCTCAGAGCCTGTTGATCTTTATGCTACCAAGACTTCTAAAGAAATGTAGTGGTATGTAGACTAAAGCTCTATGTTTAGAGGAAAAATAAACTACTTTTAAGAGTCCATTTAGCTAAGTGTTTGAGCAAGACGTGCTAAACATCAGGTAGACATCAGTGAGTTTTTAAGCATGAACTTAAGCAGGTGCGTGTCTAAATAGTGAAATGAGACCTTATATTTTATGTCCGTTTTAACTTTTTGCTTCCATATGGTTTTAGGCATTTAGCTTGTATATGTGAATAAGAGAAAATGAACTACTCTTGCTTAAACTGTTAAGAAAACAGTATGTCCTGTTGCTGGCACTCTTGCTGAAGTGTTGGACAAGTTCAAGGAACTTTATTATGTAGTGCTTCTGACAAATTACGTTCTTATTCCTTAGTGACATATTCCAGAGCTGTAAGTAATGCAGGAGGAGGAAAATATCTGTAAGAAAGGCATCTAGGGAAAAGAAGTTGGTTGGCTCCCATTTAAATAATTTAAAATCATTTTGGTATTGGGGTTCGTAGCATGGAAGTGTAGTCCATGGAGAGCATAATTACAGCAACAAGCAACCTCCTTGATGTTTTCTTTACTAAGTCAACTTAGTAAAGTTGAATTTTTAAATACTTCATTATTTAGAAGGAGGGTGAGAGTTTGGGGGTGACTTAGAATAGCTGAAACACCAAGCCAGTTGATGATGGCCTGGCTGGAAGTCACCTCTAGGGGATACTCTCTTCAAAAACCCCAAACCTAACCGTAAAGATGGGGAAAGTGACAGTGAAAACCTCAGAAGAGGCAGAGTTCTTCAGGTCAGCAAGGAAGTGATGACACTGCTGATAAAATAGATTTTATTGGGTTTTTTCCCCCACAGTAGGTGTCCAGTGTTAAGTCACAAAATGGAGCAATCTCCACATGGAGATCAGCCTTTGGCAAATTTTGCTTGTAGGTTCCTTAAAAATGAATAATGCCACGTGCCTGTGTAGCACAGATTACAAACTCTCTAGGTGGGAATTAAAGTCATTTTTTTAAACTTGATTCAGTGTGTTCACTTTTCAGTTAAAGCCTTACGTTACAGGCATTCAGGGAGAACCAGGCAGAAAGGCTTTGAGATGTTTGAGGCTGGACAAGGATCTACCCTCGGTGTATATCTGGGGTTGTCTTCTCCAGAGATCTGTTTGCCCCCTGTGAGAGAAGTCCAGTGCCAAGAACAAACAAGTTTAATTTGCTGTGGCTCCTTCGTTTGTAAAGGGAGCTAACACCTCCTTTATTTATAGTGATGATGCAAGGGTTAATTAGGACTATTAGCTGACTGTTAAAAGCAGAGTGTCTCGGTTGTCTAGGCCACCATAAGAAATGACTGGAGGACAACTGTAAAAGGAGAGCTCTGGAGTATAGCAAAAAAGGGAGATGTGTGGAGGCCTTTCAGAACAACCATTCCTCCTTGAGGGTAGAAAGGCTTTGCAGAGGATTCTGGACAGGCTGGATGGATGGGCTGAGGCCAATGGGATGAGGTTCAACAAGGCCAAGACTTGGGTCACACCAACCTCATGCAGTGCTACAAACTTGGGGCAGAGTGGCTGGAGCTGCCCGACAGAAAAGGACCTGGGGGTGTTGGTCACCTGTCAGCTGAACATGAGCCAGCAGTGTGCCCAGGTGGCCAAGGAGGCCAACAGCATCCTGGCCTGTATCGGGAACAGTGTGGCGAGTAGGACTCAGGAGGTGACCGTCCCTCTGGACTGGGCACTGGTGAGGCCCCACCTCAAGTGCTGTGTCCAGTTTTGGGCCCCTCACCACAAAAAAGACATTGAGGGGCTGGAGCCGGTCCAGAGAAGGGCAAGGGAGCTGGTGAGGGGTCTGGAGCACAAGTCTTGTGAGGAGAGGCTGAGGGAGCTGGGGGTGTTCAGCCTGGAGAAGAGGAGGCTGAGGGGAGACCTTCTCAATCTTTACAACTCCCTGAAAGGAGGGTGTAGAGAGGTGGGGATTGGTCTCTTCTCCCAAGTCTCTGGCGATGAGACAAGAGGAAATGGCCTCAAGTTGCACCAGGGGAGGTTCAGGTTGGAGATGAGGAACAATTTTTACACGGAAAGGATCATTAAGCCTTGGAATGGGCTGCCCAGGGAAGTGGTTGAGGCATCATCCCTGGAGGTGTTCAAAAGATGGGTTGATGTGGTGCTTAGAGATGTGGGTTAGTTAGTGATGGTTTTTGTCAGTGTTGGGTTGATGGTTGGACTCGATGATCTGAAAGGTCCCTTCCAACCCAGGCCATTTTACAAAACAGTGCCTGGGCAGCTTTGAAAATACCTTTGCAATGTGTGTGTTATTGCAGGGCTGGTTTCAGGAGTCATCTCACCAGGGTTGTTTCCTCTCTTGCCCCTGCCCGCTGGCTCGCACGCTCGCTCCCAAGCACACCTTCACGGGGTGGCTTGGTGCTCCCTCTCAGGGCTGCATCTGTCCCGGGCCTGGCAGAGTGACTATTTAATCACTTTTCAGATGTGATTTTAGGCTGATGTTTTCCTGAAAACAATGAAAACACAAAATTATCCTAGTGTGCCTGTGTTTTCTTGATTCCTTTGGCTCTGTAAGATGCATCGTGTCTTATAGACGGATTTCCAATCTGCCTTCAGAACAGACCTTGATTTGCAAATTTTAGTATCCCTGCATGTTAAAAAAATTAAAGCTTGTTTATATCAACTTAAGTTCTATATCGTTGCTTGTTCCTAGAGATTTTGGGAAGCCGAAATGCTGAGTTTTATAAATATTCAGTGTTATAAATATCCTACTGCTGTCAGCCTTCCCTTACCCTGGTGAGCCCCGTGTGCCAGCTTTTATGTCAAAGCATTTGTGCAACAGAAATTGTCACAGATAATGGCACAGCAGAAGAAAAAGCTGAGCTGGCATCCCCCACTGCACTAGAGCTGCCAGGGGGAATGAACGGAGGTGTGGTGTATATCACACGAGATAAATTGGAGTTTAATTAAGATCTCCCCCCCGTTGTTGGGGAAGCTCGAATAGGTGGACGAGGTTGGCGCTAGGTTTGAGGTAGGAAGCTGCAGAAAAGAAGGTGTTTGGTTTAGACAGTCTCACTTCTTCTAGAAGAATCTTCTTTGTGTTGAGTCTTGCCGTATCTGACGGTGGGCTGCTCGCTTTTCCTGGCTTTCTGGCTGCCAGCAAAGCTGTCCTGATGCCTCCTCCTGCATCTCTCGTGGGTTTAGCTTACAGGGCACAGACTCCTCAAGAATTCCTACGAACGGTGACCTCCACTGCACTAGAGCTTCCAAGGGGAATGAACGGAGGTGTGGTGTATATCACATGAGATAAATTGGAGTTTAATTAATATCTACCCCCTGTTGTTGGGGAAACTCAAATAGGTGGACGAGGTTGGCACTAGGTTCGAGGTAGGAAGCTGCAGAAAAGAAGGTGGTTGGTTTAGACAGTCTCACTTCTTCTAGAAGAATCTTCTTTGCGTTGAGTCTTGCCATATCTGACGGTAGGCTGCTTGCTTTTTCTGGCTCTGGCTGCCAGCAGAGCTGTCCTGATGCTTCCTCCTGCATCTCTCGTGGGTTTGGTTTAGGTTACAGGGCACAGACTCCTCAAGAATTCCTACGAACGGTGACCTCCACTGCACTAGAGCTTCCAAGGGGAATGAACGGAGGTGTGGTGTATATCACACGAGATTAATTGGAGTTGGATTAATATCTTCCCCCTGTTGTTGGGGAAACTCGAATAGGTGGATGAGGTTGGCGTTAGGTTTGAGGTAGGAAGCTGTAGAAAAGAAGGTGGTTGGTTTAGACAGTCTCACTTCTTCTAGAAGAATCTTCTTTGCGTTGAGTCTTGCCATATCTGACGGTAGGCTGCTTGCTTTTTCTGGCTCTGGCTGCCAGCAGAGCTGTCCTGATGCTTCCTCCTGCATCTCTCGTGGGTTTGGTTTAGGTTACAGGGCACAGACTCCTCAAGAATTCCTACAGATGGTGACCTCTCTGACCAATACATTTTTTCCAGTCCTGGATGGGCAGTGGCAATCCACACTGTTGCCTGCACGTGCAAAGTAATAAATCCTTTAAGGCAGGAGTCTGGATTTTTTAGGTATGAAGCTGTGATGCAGCCATTTCTTCTGAGTTTGAGCATCTGGTAAAGCAGATGTTGTCTGTTCTGTTTTCGATGAGTTGGAAGCGTGTTGATAAATACAGCTTCATTTCAGTAGGGTTAGGATGAAGCTTCAGGCCTGTGATTTGCAGGTGTTTGGAAATGTGGTCCAGCTCCCAAGTCCTGTAGAAACCACGTCCTCGCAGTGTACTGTCATGTTGGGTCACAGCAGTGAGAAGGGAGGAGACAATGTCAGGGTTTAGAGCCTTTTCGGTAGAAAATTAACCAAACGGGTGTTTTGTGCCCAAGATGCCGTAGGGAGAGAGGAAAGGCCTTTTGTTTATTTAAAAAATCTCTACCTTACAAATGGAAAAGGCACACAATTTTCACACATTCTCATGTCTAATGCAGTTTCCTTAATACAGTTCTCTCTCTTCTTTTTGTGTCTGTGACCACTCTGACTCCTTGCTGTTTGTAATCACCTAATTTACTTTTTGCCTCCCATTTAAAGGAATTTAGAAAGTCCTTCGTGTTACAAAGCTGAGTTACCAAGGGTTGGCTTTTTGTTTATTTTTTTTGTTTGTTTATTATTAATGCAGGCTTCCTACTACTCGGATCTGGGTCTTCACAACAGTGGCTATGCTTCCACATCTCAACCTTCTTCCCAAAATGGAAACTGGGTCTGTTGCCCTCTGGCTTTACCTGACCTGGACTTGTTCTGACTTCATTTGGATAATACAACCTCTTGTACTTAGGAATGAATTTGGCCCAATTCTCAAGAGCCTCTGTAGCAATTTTTAGTGAAACTTAAAAAAAAAAAAAAAAGCAATCCAGACCTTTAAAGAATGGAGTGAGTAATGGAAAGCTGTTTTAAAATGAGCACAATTAGTTTCCCTTTGCTGCTCCTCCCTTTCCTAGAGTTATTTTGTTTGCTTTTGGCCTCAGTTGGTCTGGAAAAATAAGGGAAATCTTAATTAAATGAAGCTCTCTATTCTATTTGAGGCAACTCTCTGCTGACTCTGTCGGTCTAGCAAGCTTAAGACAGTCCAGTCTGTGTAAAATGAAATTACAAGCAAGTAATTTGCAGACTGCTAGAAGAAAGAAAATAATTGCTGAAGCTTCAAAATAACCCAAGAGGTTGGATTGTCCTCTGTGTGTGGCCAGGGGCTAGTGAAGCAGTGCTCGAGCAGTGGTCCTCAGCAGGAGGACATCACCCAGTGATGGGGACAAGTGGGGTGACTTGGCAGCAGCACGTTGTCTGCCAGTTTGTGAGCTGGGGGGTCACTGCTGGAGCATCTCCTCCACCTGGTGATGCTGGAGAGATAAAGTGTGTGCTCTCTGAACTTAACCGCTGCATCTTGTGAGTGATGGGGACTAACAGCAAAATAATCTGGTTTGTGGTGCTCCGACTTCAAATACTCACCGTTTTGTCCTGAATTAGTTGGGTTTTCTCTGCAGTTTTGTTTAATAATGAAATAACACAAAAGAGATGATAATATTGCTGGGTGGAAGGCTTAAAGTGCAGATCTTAAAACACTTCTGGTTTTTGTGTGTAGCCCTTTTTCTGGCTTTGGTTGAAGTGAGGAGAAACACCCTTTCTGGCTGCTGTACACAAGCGTGTGCAAGACAATAACAACTTAACAACCTAAAATTAAATGATGCTGTTTTCTGCAGTTTTGTTTAATAATGAAATAACACAAAAGAGATGATAATATTGCTGGGTGGAAGGCTTAAAGTGCAGATCTTAAAACACTTCTGGTTTTTGTGTGTAGCCCTTTTTCTGGCTTTGGTTGAAGTGAGGAGAAACACCCTTTCTGGCTGCTGTACACAAGCGTGTGCAAGACAATAACAACTTAACAACCTAAAATTAAATGATGCTGTTTTGCTTTTGCATACTGTCGTGTCCTCCCTTCCTGTAGGAAATGCACGTGTCTGCTTTGTATTCTTAGTCTTTGGGAATTGAGATTTAATGCTTTTACGGCGCGGATGACTAATATTCTCTATACTGGGTTTCCTTGACGTTGTCGTTTACGATCCTAATCTCTTATCGAGACGGTTAATTCTGCTGTAGGCGCCTCTTTTTGTGTTTCATTTTCTATGCCAAAAAAAAAAAAAAAAAAGTTTTGTGCTTGTCTTCCTCAGCCCTCCTTGCTGTACAGCGATGCCCTGCCAGCCAGAAGTTACAGGGTTTGTTGTACTAATGCTCTAAACCACAAATACTGAAGCCACTCACCTTCAGCCATGCACATGTTGTCTCTTAACCTCTGTAGTTCCCCTTGGGTCCATCTGTTTCACACTGATTCACCTGAATGCACATGTGCAATGCTGTTTGTACACACCTGGATTCCTTGATCCTTCCTTTTATTCCTGTCAGGAGATGTGCTCGTGGGGTTGGGATGCTGCCACGGGTTTCTCTCTGGATGGAGGCGGTTGTCTTGGGTTTGGTGGATGAGCTACAACCTGCAGGAGCGGGCCAGAGAGAGGCAACATCAATTCTTTCTGGTTGTGAAACAGCTAACAAAACCCTGTTTAAAAAACTTTCTTAGCCAGTTTCCACTCTTCTTCTTTAAAATGAATTTTTCTCAAATTTTATTCTCAAAGGTAGTTTTCTGAGCCAGACATTTATGTGCTAAAGTGGAGCCAGAGTCTTAGAATCTGCATCTTGCTCCTTTTTTATTAATTTGGCAAACTGGCCAGTAAGTGAAACTCATCAGGCTTAAGTGTGGGCACTTTTTTACCCCAATATTTTGCCATCACTGGAAATGAAAGCTAAACAAACCTGACTTGAACAACTTTGGAATTGATGTAGCCATGTTGTTGGAAGGCAGCATAACCTGTTGAAGTGGGGATTGGGTTAGAAGTGCATGGAGCGTGTGATGGACCTGGGAGAGGGGGGTGTGTGGGGGTGGATGTTGGATTCTGCACGTCCCCCCATGACGTTTGCCAGCTCCCTTGACTTCAGGTTGTGTTAGATCCTCCTTTGCATGCTGCTTGAGGTTGTGTACGGGAGATGGTGTCCCTGCTCGTTCCCCCATGTCCTTCTCCTTGCACCTTGTGACTTTTTCTCCAGAACTGAAATGAGAAACCAGCTCTGCCTGGTCCTGTTCTGACTCTGTCTTTTAATTGTAGGCGTCTGTGTATGAGGAGAGCGTTTACAGCGGGAGCCGTCGCTATAGTGCCTCTAGTTCTCGTGCTGTAAGACGTTTTTCTGCGTTTCCTTGTCTTGTCTCTGTCCCCCAGTAACCTGTGTGCACCACAACACAGCCTTTTCGGGGCTGAGGAGGGTTTAAGATGGGCTGTGTGAGGCTCACAGCCTGCTGTTGGAGGGAAAAGGACAAGTGCTGTTTCCGTGAGCTTCCCTGAAATAATAAGTGGTGATTTATCTGCCCGGCCTCAGGCAGACCAGCTCTGGCCACCACCAAGAAAGTCCTCCCCTACAACAAGGGGAATTCAGCCCTACTTTGCACTTGGTTTGCAGATAAAACACCTTGGAAAGACCATACGTAAAGTTCCTTCCCTCACTGAGACTTCATTCTTCTTTTGAAAACTGAGGGTAAACCAGGGCTTTCTAATAAATCAATAAAATCAATTCCCCGTGTCTCAGCTTGTGACAACGTCTTCAAAACACACGCTCCTGTGAGTGGAGGCTTCTGTCACTTTTTGTGGGGGAGACAATATGAGGAATGATAATATAAATGCTTTCCTTTCCAAAAAAGAGAGGCTGCAGGATTTTGGTTTACAGATCAGAAGGCAGAAAGTGCCTTCACCTCTTCTCAGATGGGGTCTCTGTGCCATGGTGGTGTCTGGGCCGGGCAATGCATCTTCTCCTGTTGTAACTGCTGGGGGGAAAAAAAAAAACAGTCTTTTTTATTTTATTTTATTTTTAAATTGTGTTCCGTGGATCCAGTGCTTATTCTGCCTCCGAACTCCTTTGCTGATTATAAAAAAAACCAAAAACAAAACAACAAAAAACCCAAACAACAAAAAAAAAAGCTAACCCCAACAAATAAAAACCACCACCCAAGACCTGAACAGAAAAAAAGCCTCGAGACAAAACATTGATGTTAATTTAATGCTAAAAGTTACCGTTTAGCTTGGAGAAGGAAACAAAACTTTTTGGGATGCTTCCTAAGTGCTTGTTGGCCTTTAAAGGGCGATGCATCCTCTTGCAGGCACGCTGATTCACTAGTTGGGCTGTGCATCTTGCTGCTACCCATGTTGAGTTTCAGATGACTTTTTTATTTCACATTTGTGCCTTGTTTTCATTTGGCTGCCTTGGAAAACTCACTAAAAAAAACCAAAAACAAAACAACAAAAAACCCAAACAACAAAAAAAAAAGCTAACCCCAACAAATAAAAACCACCACCCAAGACCTGAACAGAAAAAAAGCCTCGAGACAAAACATTGATGTTAATTTAATGCTAAAAGTTACCGTTTAGCTTGGAGAAGGAAACAAAACTTTTTGGGATGCTTCCTAAGTGCTTGTTGGCCTTTAAAGGGCGATGCATCCTCTTGCAGGCACGCTGATTCACTAGTTGGGCTGTGCATCTTGCTGCTACCAATGTTGAGTTTCAGATGACTTTTTTGTTTCATGTTTGTGCCTTGTTTTTGTTGATGAGTTGAAAAACTCATCGATGCTTACCAGGCTGTGCCGAGCTGGTTGTAGCCCTTTTCTTTGTATGGGATGTCTCCGTTTGTTGGAGATGAGTCTCTTGGAGGTCCAGAAGATGACACTTCTTCTTCTCTTGGGAGAAGACATTTACAGTGGACTCCAAGCCCAAACACTTTTCAGCCACTGAATAAAAGGCTGATGCTCTTTCCCCTTCTTCCATCCATCCCACCCTGTGCCACAGGTATTTGGAAGCCTGCGTGTAGCCCAGCCTTCCCAATTTCTGTTGAGCACGATGGCCTGGAGTAATGAGAGAGTTGAATTGTGAGGGTTTTTTGCCTCAAAAGGGAATGGCCTTGTCACAGTTGCTGAGTTATCAGTGGTTATTTTGACATCTCTGAGCCTCGTAGCATTTTTACTATGTAAAGCCTGCGTGTAGCCCAGCCTTCCCAATTTCTGTTGAGCACGATGGCCTGGAGTAATGAGAGAGTTGAATTGTGAGGGTTTTTTGCCTCAAAAGGGAATGGCCTTGTCACAGTTGCTGAGTTATCAGTGGTTATTTTGACATCTCTGAGCCTCGTAGCATTTTTACTATGTAGAGGGTGTGCCATTTGGGTGGCTGTCCCCAAAGAATGTTTTTTGGGTCATCAGATGGCATGGGGTCAGGCTGAAACTGGTTCTGCTGAACAAGTGGCACTTGCTTCCATGTTCTGCCCTACGATACAGAGAGAACAACTATGGAATAAGTAAGTCCTGTGAAACATTAATATGAGATTCATCAGTACTTAATATTTCTTCCTCGACATGTATTTCAAGTTTATTCTACATCCTTCCTATGTGAAACATGGAACACCAGTGATGGTGCAAGGCTTCTCTGCTGGAGCTACTTTGAGAAAACAAAATCTAAATAATTACTAGAGTGCTTTTTGCTTTTCATTTAGAACTTTAAGTGGCTGTGGTGGCACACAGTTTGCGAGTATTTTCAAGGCAGTTCTAAATTTTGTGTAATTCTCCTGTCTAAAATGAAGCTCAGTAGTTCAGGTGCATGAAGACAGCGTTGTTTCACGTATGGCATCCGAGGACACAGCTTGGGCACCTTCTCCCCTGCTCCAGGGGCTTCCTAAGGGCTGTGCACCTTGGAATGTAATGCTTTGTGGTTAGTAACTCAGCTGATGGTTGCACTGTAGCTGAGGTTATTTCCAGCTTACCCTCTTATCATTTATTACTACTATAAGCTTGATTTCCATTTCATCTTGTGCCGGTTTGTTAGCGTGACTAATGATGCTGAAACAGTCCTACAATAGCTTGGTGAAGACCTGGCTGCTCTGTAACTGAGGAATCCAGGTAACTTAATAAAAGAAACCTTCCAAAAAAAAATTAAAAACCAAAACAAAACCCAACAAAACAGAATACATGCAAAACTAGGGTCATTCTTTAGACTTTGGTGTTTTTACATCTGAGAAACAGTCTTAAGGGCCTATAAAATAAACTTGTAAGGGTCGTTAGAGAAGAGCAGTTCCTTCTGCTTGTTCCTGTCCCTGAACTGCCCCTGCCCTTGTGTCGGTACAAGCTTCTGCATGAGATATTGGACAGACTGCAAGGCCTCAATGGCCTCGAAGGTAGTAGCAATAGGAAAAATAACATCAGGTAAACCTCAAGTTTCATTCCTCCCTGTTACGAATGTATCGAAACCTCCCTTTTTATATATTCTTACCTGTCTTTCTATAAAGTACATCTAAATACAAGATTGAGTCTGAAGCTGCTGCTCAGAAATCTATGCAAATAGAGGGAATAATTCTAAAAGGCATTTCCAGAATAAGTTTTAACTCTGTTGCCCTGACACTCTAAACTTTCCTTTCCATTCCTCTGGAAATAAACCAGCGTAGACGCGTTCTTTGTCCTTGTCAGCAGCAAGTCAGCCCTGCCTGTTCTGCATCACTGCTTAGATGGTTGCTTTTAAGAATAGACCAAAATACTTTCTTTGGCAGGAGATGAGGGCTGCAGGTGCTGGAAGAGGCAAGAGAGGTTCTCTGTCTCTGAG